TCTTTCTTTCTTTCTTTCTTTCTTTCTTTCTTTCTTTCTTTCTTTCTCTGTCTCTCCCTCCCTCTCTCCCTCTCTCCCTCCCTTCCACCCTCCCTCCCTCCCTTCCTTCCTTCCTTCTTCTTCCTTCCTTCCTTCCTTTCTTCAGGTGTGGACAAAAATATAGACAGGTTCACACAGCTCATCAACAGCAGACCAGGACTAGAACACAGGTTTTATATCAGAGGAAATAAAGTATGATTCCTTTTATTGATTGCAATTCAACATTTTAAAACACTACTTAAAGTTATAATAGAGTGAAGCTCTTGTATCTTAAGATATCACTGTATCACTATAGTGATTACAATTTCAGAAATAATTGAGTGGATCAGTGAAATAATTTATTCCAAAATAAGAATTTATGAGGCATCAGAAAGTCAGGTTCCACTCAAGTTCATAGAGAAATTCAGGGTCATATTAAGGCAGCTACTTAGAACAGGAAAAATGTTTAGATGAGCAGTTCATGATCACAGTAGAGGATTAGAGAAAAGTACTAAAATGTACCATACTATCTTATTTCTTTACACTTCATTTTTGCATTATATTTAAATATTCTGATCTTTAATGTTGATGTGTGTTCTTTTAATTATTCATGATGTGAAAATATGGATGACTCTTAGACAACTATATTTATGACAGAAGTTAATCATACTTTCATAACTGTGGTTCACACCTCAGTTGGTGATAGTGATACATAATTTTAAAAACTGTATCTAAGAGGAGGTAAATTGGGCTTGTGATCCTAAATTCATAAAATGAGCACAATAATTTCAAAGAGGGAAAATTATTCTCGTCTTTTGCAAGTACTTACGTAAGACCCAGAATATTGAGAAAAATGGTAGTATCATGGCAAAGTGAGCCATCTGAACATAAGAAACAGTCATTTTCCTGACATGTTATTTTTCATTCATGCAATTACCACTTGGAATAAAGGTGTATACTCTGTGATTTTTTAAAAATTTATTTATTTGTCTGCATCGGGTCTTAACTATGGCACACAGGATCTTTGTTGAGGCAGGCAGGATCTTTTTTGTGACGTGGGCTCTTCATTGTGGCATGTGGGTTTTCTCTTCTCTAGTTGTGGCATGTGGGCTCCAGAGAGCATGGGCTCTGTAGTTTGCAGTGGGCTCTCTAGTTGAAGAATGAGAGCTCAGTAGTTGTGGCACGTGGACTTAGTTGCCTCGCAGCAGGTGGGATCTTAGTTCCCCGACCAGGGATCAACCCACATCCCCTGCATTGGAAGGTGGATTCTTTATCACTGGACCACCAGGGAAGTCCCTAAAGGTGTATACTTTGAAGTTGGATCGAATTACTATAATAGAAGGCAATTCAAAGGACTAGCTATTCATCCCAAAGTAAGTATTGGAGAGAACTAAGAAATACTAGAGAGTGATTTACATCAATTGGTTAAAAGTAACCAGTTAAATTCTAGGGTGATGACAGGAGAAAGCAGGCTTTTGTGCAGCAAGTTAATAGGTAGATTAAAAGTTACAGGATGCCTTATTAGAAGAAATAGTGCTGGTACCATGATGAGTTTAAGCCTTTGAAGGCAGAAATTTAACCAGGAGAAAGAATCTCTAAATAACCAAGTATTGTCTGCTTATACTAGAGAGATCCCATGGTAAAAAGTAATGGGAGGTGGACCAAGTTTGGATCATCTGACTTGTTATGCAGGAGTGAGGATCCTAAAAAGTACAAACTGGTGCAAAAGCAAATCATTAATTTTAATCCCTGTTTGGTGGGGAGACTGATGCATGAATGCCTAGAATCCTCTCCTTGCCAGAGACTGGTTTGCACAAGGGCAGAGGAAAGTGAGACAGGTCCCACTGGTATTTCAATGAGACCAAGATGCCATAAGATAAGGATCTTCTGCCCAAAGTGGCAAACTAAGCTGTGTCATAACAAGCCACAGGAAGAACCATCTCATCCATATTCCAGTATATATTTCTTGACATTATGATTCAATTTTTTAAGCACTTAAAATCAATTTTATTGAAGTGGAATTTTTTTTTCACTTGACACTCATATTATATAATTGATGAACTTACATTGGTACGTTATTACCCAAAGTCCTAGTTTACACTAGGGTTCATCCTTGGTTTTATACATTCTATGGGTTTGGAAAAATGTATAGTGACATGCATCCACCATTATAATATTACACAGAACTCTTTCACTGCCCTAAAAATCCTCTGTGCTCCACCTATTGATCCCTTCTTCCCCTTCACTCCTGGAAACCACTGATCTTTTTATTGTCTCATAGTTTGTCCTTTCCCAGAATGTCATATGGTTGGAATAATGCAGTATTGTATCCTTTTCAGAATGTCTTCTTTCACTTAGTTATATGCATTTAAGTTTCCTCCATGTCTTTTTATGTCTTGATAGCTCATTTCTTTTCAGTTCTGAATTGTCTAAATGTATCACTGTTTAATCATCCCTTCACCTACTGAAGGACATCTTGGTTGCTTCTAAGTTTTGACTATTATGAATAAAGCTGTTATAAACATCTGTGTGAAGGTTTCTGTGTGGTTTGGGTGAAAACACCAAGGAGCATGATTGCTGGATCATATAGTAAGAGAAAATCTAGTTTTGTAAGAAACCGCCAAATTGTCTTACAAAGTGGCTGTACCATTTTACATTCCCCCCAACAATGAATGAAAGTTCCTGTTACTCCACTTCCTAACCACCATTTGATGTTGTCAGTGATCTAATCTTTTTCCATTCTAATAGACATGTAGTAGTATCTCATTGTTTTAATTTGCATTATGATTCAATTCTCAGTGTCCCCTAGCTTAAGAATATTTCCAAAAGTTAGAAGTGAGGAGAGTGATAATCTCTCTAATCTGTAATACATTCTCTAGGATGCTTTGGATTGTTAGCTATTGGAAAATGATACCATGAGATATAGATAGGCTCCCAAATTTCAAAATGAGAATTAGAGTATGCTACAACCATGAAGAAAATACACTGAATATATTAAATTTTCTGAGCTTGTTTCCAAATGGAAAATTTACCAAGAATGCCAATATAACAAAGGACTATCATTGGTGTGAAATCTTATATGACTTACATTTCCATCTAATTAAATATGTAAATATAAATGAGAAATATGAATTCATTTAATAAGTTTTTGTCTCAATATAGGATTCTGAATATTTGGATTTTGAAGATAATTATATCTTCAAATGATTTATTTTGTTTATTGTTTTTATATTTATTGTTTTACTCACTTCACAGGTAGAATTTTACTAAGCATGTTCTTGAAATGTTGCCTGTTTGAACTTTTACTATAACTTCTTGTCTGCTCCTAAATCTTACACTTTAAGGAAAAAGAACTGAAAACAAAACCCCACAGGTGATTCCCTGATGTTTATTTTGAAACATAATATGTTGCTATATTCTGGTCACTAAATAAAAAGCAGAACTGAACAAAAATTGGAATTCCTTAAGTTATGTCTCCAACCGAAAGTCAAAGTATATCAACATTGTACAGAACTGTATGGATTGCCAATAATTTAGTGTTATCCACCTTGTTTCTCCAACACATGGATCATACCACTTATTAATCTTTAAAGACTGATAGGTAAAGATAAAGTGAAAGGTTGCCAGCAAGCAGAAGCCTTACCACCAAATCTTTATTCTCATTATCATGACCCTTCAATTACTCATTTAACATTTTATATTTCAAACTCAATGCTATGCCTCAACCTGATACTATTTAAAAATCTTCCAAATCATGAAATAATTTGCATTTGAGGTAAAGGACATACATATTTTATGACTGCACCTGAAATATCATCATGGAAATTAAAAAAAAATTATCTATTTTAATTTCAACTAAAGAGCATGGTTTGCTCAAGTAACCTTGTGAATTTGAAGTTCATTTAATTAAAAATTTTTCCCCAGAGTCAAGATAAAAACACTGAGAATACACATTGACCATTTTCTGATTTTAGCCACATTAGGGATCAAAATATTTTGCTCACACAAGTGATACAAAGTCATTTCAGATAGCAAATTAGAGTTTTACTTATGTAGATGTGGAATTGCGACTTACCCCTGTCTGTGTCATACAGGAAGACAAAACAGTTCCATTCATAGTGATCCAGCAGACTCAAGAGTGCTCCTCGTAAGGAAGGCCTTAGCTGCAGCACAAACTGGCTCTCCCCCTCAGTAGGGAAACTTGGTGTGATGAGGGAGATGTGTAAGGCGCTGCAGAATGAGGTCAAGGTATGTACTGACCTCTTATCATAGAGTCCAAAAATGGCAAATACTCCTCTAGAATACTGGGAACAGACTGAAACAAAAACAAACAAAAAAAACCCATAAACTATTAGCACACTCTAAAACTGTTGACTCCACATCTATAGTTTATGAAACAAACAAAATCTCTGAGTCATTGATATGTCAGGAATATAATATAAGGAAACAGTAAAAGTGAAGTGTGCAATTATTTGTATAATCAATTAGTGAAATGTTAAGCTTGTCCTCAAAGCCCTGCAGTAAATGAGATAACAAGGGGTTTTCTCAAGAGACCAATTTGAATTAAGAAAAATTTGACTAAAATGAAGTAATATATAACATTCCACGATAATGTGACAAATCCTATGCTAGAGACTTTTAAGTGTGACCATAAGAAGCCTAGGGTGTTGGGTAATCTAGAGGTATTTATCTTAGGAGTAGTTCCTTGTGAAACAAAGAAATTAGATTTTTGTTTGTTAAAGCAGTTATAGTTTCTTGAAAAAAATTAACTGTCCTGATAACATTTATATCTATATTTTATATCTGGGTTTTAGGAAATTATGAAGCATAATTAAATAAGATAAATTAATAAAATCTGGAGGTATTTCGTTTATTCTTTTTTATTGTGCCTCTTGAAACTGGAGAGAGAGCCTAAGAAATTTAATTAAATAAGAAGAGGGTAACAATTAACAGAAAATAAATTGCTACTGGTTTTCTTTAGATGGTGTGCTGTAAGAGATACACACATGTTCTGGAAAAACTAAAGTCCAATTAAGGGACCAGAGTTTACATTCATAAAAAAAGACTAAGAATTGACATTAAGATATAGGGGGAGCTTACCCGGCTCTTTGGTGGGGATAATGGCAGACACTGGGAGGGCTCACGACAAGTAGTACTTCCCAGAACTTCTGCTGCCAGTGTCCTTGTCCCTGCAGTGAGCCACAGTCACCTCCCATCTGCAGGAGACCCTCGAGCACTAGCAGCCAAGTGGCTGACAGAGTCTTGGTGCTCCGGCCGGGTGTCAGGCCTGAGCCCCTTAGGTGGGAAAGCCAAGTTCAAAACATTGGTTCACCAGAGACCTCCAGGCCCCACATAATATCAAATGGTGAAAACACTCCCAGAGATCTCCATATCAACACTAAGATCCAGCTCCACTCAACGACCAACAAGCTACATGGCTGCACAACTCATGCCAAACAACTAGCAAGACAGGAACACAACCCCACCCATTAGCAGAGAGGCTGCCTAAAATCATAATAAATTCACAGACACCCCAAAGCACAGCACCAGACATGGTCCTGCCCACCAGAAGACAAGATCCAGCCTCATCCACCAGAACACAGGCATCAGTCCTCTCTACCAGGAGTCTACACAACCCACTGAACCAACCTTAGCCACTGGGGGCAGACACCAAAAACAATGAGAACTACGAACCTGAAGCCTGTGAAAAGGAGACCCCAAATGCAGTAAGTTAAGCAGAATGAGAAGACAGAGAAATACACAGCAGATGAAGGAGCAAGGTAAAAAAACACCAGACCAAACAAATGAGGAGGAAATAGGCAGCCTACCTGAAAAAGAATTCAGAATAATGATAGTAAAGATGATCCAAAATCTTGGATATAGAAGGAAGAAAATGCAAGAAATGTTTAACAGGGACCTAGAAGAACTAAAGAGCAAACAAAAAATGATGAACAACACAATAGATGAAAGTAAAAGTACTCTAGAAAGAATTAATAGCAGAATAACTGAGGCAGAAGAATGGATAAGTGACCTGTAAGATAAAATAGTGGAAATAACTACAACAGAGCAGAATAAAGAAAAAAGAAGGAAAAGACTTGAGAACAGTCTCAGAGACCTTTGGGACAACATTTAATGCACCAATCTTCGAATTATAGGGGTCCCAGAAGAAGAATTGAAAAAGAAAGGGACTGAGAAAATAGTTGAAGAGATTATAGTTGAAAACATCCTTAATATGGGAAAGGAAATAGTCAATCAAGTCCAGGAAGCACAGAGAGTCCCATACAGGATAAATCCATGGAGAAACATGGCAAGACACATATTAAACTATCAAAAATTAAATTGAAAGAAAAAAATATTAAAAGCAGCAAGGGAAAAGCAACAAATAACATACGAGGGAATCCCTATATGGTTAACAGCTGAATTCTCAGAAGAAATTCTGCAAGCCAGAAGGGTGTGGCAGGACATATTTAAAGTGATGAAAGGGAAAAACCTACAATTAAGATTACTCTACCCAGTAAGGATCTGATTCAGGTTCGATGGAGAAATTAAAACTTTACAGAAAAGCAAAAGTTAAGAGAATTCAGCACCACTAAACCAGCTTTACAGCAAACAGTAAAGGAACTTCTCTAGGCAGGAAACACAAGAGAAGGAGTGGACCTGCAATAACAAACCCAAAACAATTAAGAAAATGGTAATAGGAACATACATATTGATCATTACCTTAAATGTAAATAGATTAAATGCTCCAATCAAAAGACATAGACTGGCTGAATGGATACAAAAACAAGACCTGTATGTATGCTGTCTACAAGAGACCCATTTCATACCTAGGGAAACATACAGACTGAAAGTAAGGGGATGGAAAAAGATATTTCATGCAAAAGGAAATCAAAAGAAAGCTGGAGTAGCAATTCTCATATCAGACAAAATAGACTTTAATATAAAGAATGTTATAAGAGACAAAGAAGGACACTACATAATGATCAGGGGATGAAACCAAGAAGAAGATATAACAATTGTAAATATTAATGCACTCAACATAGGAGCACCTCAATATATAAGGCAAATTCTAACAGCAATAAAAGGGGAAATTGACAGTAACAGAGTCATAGTAGGGGAATTAACACCCCACTTTCAGCAATGGACAGATCATCCAAAATGAAAATAAATAAGGAAACACAAGCTTTAAATGATACATTAAACAAGATGGACTTAACTGGTATTTATAGGACATTCCAACCAAAAACAACAGAATACACTTTCTTCTCAAGTGATCATGGAACATTCTCCAGGATAGATCATATATTGGTTCACAAATCAAGCCTTGGTAAATTTAAGAAAACTGAAACCACATCAAATATCTTTTCAGACCACCACACTATGAGGCTAGATATTAATTATAGGAAAATATCTGTAAGAAGTACAAGCACATGGAGGCTAAATAATACACTACTAAATAATCAAGAAATTACCGAAGAAATCAAAGAGGAAATAAAAAAAATACCTGGAAACAAATGACAATGAAAACACTACGACCCAAAACTTATGGGATGCAGCAAAAGCAGTTTTAAGAGAGAAGTTTATAGCAATACAATCCTAACTCAGGAAACGAAAACATCTCAAATGAACAACCTAATCTTACATCAAAGCAATTAGAGAAAGAAGAACAAAAAACCCCCAAAGTTAACAGAAGGAAAGAAATCATAAAGAACTGATCAGAAATAAATGAAAAAGATATGAAGGAAACAATAGCAAAGATCAATAAAACTAAAAGCTGGTTCTTTGAGAAGATAAACAAAATTGATAAACCATTAACCAGACTCATCAAGAAAAAAGGGAAAAAACTCAAATCAATAGAATTAGAAATGAAAAAGGAGAAGTAGCAACTGACACTGCAGGAATACATAGTATCATGAGAGATTACTACAAGCAAAGATAGGCCCAAAAATGGACAACCTGGAAGAAGTGGACAAATTATTAGAAAAGCACAACCTTCCGAGACTGAACCAGGAAGAAAGAGAAAATATGAACAGACCAATCAGAAGCACTGAAATTGAAACTGTGATTATGAATCTTCCAACAAATAAAAGCCCAGAAACAGATGGCTTCAGAGGTGAATTCTATGAAACATTTAGAGAAGAGTTAACACCTATCCTTCTCAAACTGTTCCAAAATACAGCAGAGGGAGGAACACATCCAAGCTCATTCTAGGAGGCCACCAGCACCCTGATACCAAAACCAGACAAAGATAACACAAAAAGAGAAAACTATAGGCCAATATCACTGATGAATATAGATGCAAAAATCCTCAACAAAATACTAGCAAACCAAATCCAACAGCACATGAAAAGGATCATACACCATGATGAAGTGGGATTTATCCCAGGAATGCAAGGATTCTTCAGTATACACAAGTCAATCAAAGTGATATACCATATTAACATATTGAAGGATAAAAACCATATGATAATCTCAGTAGATGCAGAAAAAGCATTTGACAAAATTCAACACCCATTTATGAAAGAAACTCTCCAAAAAGTAGGTATAGAGGGAACTTAACTCAACATAATAAAGGACATATATGACAAACCCACAGCCAACATCATCCTCAATGGTGAAAAAGTGAAGCTATTTCCACTAACATCAGAAACAAGACAAGGTTGCCCACTCTCATCACTATTATTCAACATAGTTTTGGAAGCTTTAGTCACAACAATCAGAGAAGAAAAAGAAATAAAAGGAATCCAAATATGAAGGGAAGAAATAAAACTGTCACTGTTTGCAGATGACCTGGTACTATACATAGAGAATCCTAAAGATGCTACTGGAAAACTACTAGAGCTAATCAATGAATTTGGTAATGTAGCAGGATACAAAATTAATGCACAGAAATATCTGGCATTCCTATACACTAATGATGAAAAATGTGAAATAGAAATTAAGGAGACACTCCCATTTACCACTGCAACAAAAAGAACAAAATACCTAAGAATAAACCTACTTAAGGAGACAAAAGACCTGTATGAAGAAAACTATAAGACACTGATGACAGAAACTAAAGATCATACAAACAGATGAAGAGATATACCATGTTCTTGGATTGGAAGAAGGAACACTGTGAAAATGACTACACTACCCAAAATAATCTACTGATTCAATTCAATCCCTATCAAAGCACCACTGACATTTTTCACAGAACTAGAACAAAAATTTCACAATTTATATGGAAACATAGAAGACCCTGAATAGCCAAAAAAATCTTGAGAAAGAAAAACGGAACTGGAGGCATCAGGTTCCCTGACTTCAAAATATACTACGAAGCTACAGTAATCAAGACAGTATGCTACTGGCACAAAAACAGAAATATAGATCAATGGAACAGGATAGGAAGCCCAGAGATCAACCCGCACACATATAGTCACCTTATCTTTGATAAAGGGGGCAAGAATAAACAACGGAGAAAAGACAGCCTCTTCAATAAGCGGTGTTGGGAAAACTGGACAGCTACATGTAAAATAATGAAATTAGAACACTCCCTAACAACATACACAAAAATAAACGTAAAATGAATTAAAGATCTAATTGTAAGGCCAGACACAATAAAACTCTTAGAGGAAAACATAGGCAGAACACTCTGTGACATAACTTACAGCAAGATCCTTTTTGACCCACCTCCTACATAAATGGAAATAAAAATAAACAAATGGTACCTAATGAAACTTAAAAGCTTCTGCACAGTGAAGGAAAATATAAACAAGATGAAAAGAAAACCCTCATAATGGGAGAAAATATTTGCAAATGAAGCAACTGACAAAGGATTAATCTCCAAAATATGCAACCAGCTCATGCAGCTCAATATCAAAAAAACAAATAATCCAATCCAAAAATGGGCAGAAGACCTAAATAAACATTTTTCCAAAGAAGATATACAGATTGCCAACAAACACATGAAAGGATGCTCAACATCACTAATCATTAGAGAAATGCAAATCAAAACTACAATGAGGTATCACCTCACACCAGACAGAATGGCCATCATCAAAAAATCTACAAACAATAAATGCTGGAGAGGGTGTGGAGAAAAGGGAAACCTCTTGCACTGTTGGTGGGAATGTAAATTGATACAGCCACTATGGAGAACAGTATGGAGGTTCCTTAGAATACTAAAAGTAGAACTACCATATGACCCAACAATCCCACTACTGGGCATATACCCTGAGAAAACCATAATTCAAAAAGAGTCATGTACCACAATGTTCTTTGAGGCACTATTTATGATAGCCAGGAGAGAGAAGCAACATAAGTGTCCATTGACTGATGAGTGGATAAAGAAGATGTGGCACATATATACAATAGAATATTACTCAGCCATAGAAAGAAATGAAATTGAGTTTTTTGTAGTGAGGTGGATGGACCTAGAGAGTGTTATATAGAGTGAAGTAAGTCAGAAAGAGAAAAACAAATACCGTATGCTAACACATATGTATGGAATCTAAAAAAAAAAAAAAAAAAAAAAAGTTTCTGAAGAACTTAGGGGCAGGACAGGAATAAAGATGTAGACATAGAGAAGGACTTGAGCACATGTGGAGGGGGAAGGGTAAGCTGGGACGAAGTGAGAGAGTGGCATGGACATATATGCACTCTCCAAAGTAAAATAGATAGCTAGTGGGAAACAGCTGCATAACACAGGGAGATCAGTTTGGTGCTTTGTGACCACCTAGAGCGGGGGGATAGGGACGGTGGGAGGGAGACGCAAGAGGGAGGAGATATGGGGATATATGTATACGTATAGCTGATTCACTTTGTTATACAGCAGAAACTAACACACCATTGTAAAACAATTATACTTCAATAAAGATGTTAAAAAAAAAAGATATAGGGGAAAGACTGCAAACTTTGCAAGTAAGTTCAAATTGTTGTGATTTTGCTTATTAGCCAGGTAACCTTGGCTAAATTCCTTAAAATTGCTTGTCTCAACTCTGAATATATAATATGCCAAGGATTATATGAGATAATGTATCTAAAACTGCTATCCTATGAGGCTATATGAGGCAATTAGTAAGTGATAGATTTTATAAACACAAATTTTCTACATGCATGTATAAAGTTTAGTATTTTTATTATTTAATAAGAGAGTAAAATGATTAGAGGGTAAAATACCACAAATGATCCACAACCAACTATTAAGATTCTTATAACAAATACCAGTTATTTTCATGAATATTTAATAAAGAAATACTATCAAGAAAGTACATCCAATTCTAATTCTATGCTCACCAGAAACTGGAATTTGATTACCTGAGTAGATTGACCAAACTGGAAAGCTTGTTCTGACAGTGTGACTGGCTATAATTTTCCTGCAACTTATGAGAAACATCATAATTTAACATATGAATATCTTAGGCTTAAACTCAATTCAGTTCTATGATTTAAGGGACCGAATAAATCAAGTTGCTGAATTGGACCTTAACCTCATGAATGTTCCACCAAAGTTTGGAGATATTTATGTAAGTGCTATACATTTGGCATATAACCTGGAGTTACTCGGTGCTTTTCTTATTTCATATTTTCTTGTTCCTTTGATTTTCATGCAAGTTGAGGACCCACTTTCCATCTTTATGTAGTAGATAATCTAGTTCAATTAATTTTTATTTTACTTTACTGAAAAACATTTTAAAGAGCTTTAGAACTCAAATCTAAGATACTGGCTTTCAGTTTGGTGCTGAAAAATATTGTACTTCATATAAATTCATAAAATTCATAAAATTTTATATAAAAAATATATTTTATTTATATCTTTCCTTCATTCATTCATCCATCAGTGAACACTTAGGTTGTTTCCATGCATTGGCTACTGTATATTAATATATAATAATGATGTATAATGATGCTGAAATGTACATGGGTATACAGATATCTCTTTGAGGTGGTGATTTCACTTCCTTTGGATATATACCCAAAGTGGCATTGCTGGATCATATGGTAGTCCCGTTTTTTAATTTTTTTGAGGAACCTCTATACTGTTTTTCATAGTGGCTATACCAATTTGTATCCCTCTCTCCCCACAGTTTGTGAAGGTTCCCTTTTCTCCACATCCTTGCACACTTGTTATCACTTGTCTTTTTGATAATAGCCATTCTAACAGGTGTGAAGTGATATCTCATTGTCCTTTTGATTTGCATTTCCCAGATTGATTGATTTCTCTGATGTTGAGCATCTTTTCATGTATCTGTTGGTCTTCTTTGAAGAAATGTCATTCAGGTCTTTTACTCCTTTTTAAATCAGATTGTTATTATTGTTATTAAATTGTATGAGTTCCTTATATATTTTGAATATTAACTCCTTATCAGGTATATTATTTACAAATATTTTCTCCCATTATGTAGGCTGTCTTTTCATATTGTTGATTGTTTCTTTTGTTGTCCAGAAACTTTTTAGTTTGATGTTTATTTTTGCATTCATTGCCTGTGCTTTTTGTGCCATATCTAAAAATATCAATGCTATGACCAGTTTAAGTCTTTTATCCATTTTGAATTAATTTTTGTGAGTGGCATAAGATTGGGGTCCAATTTCATTCTTTTGCATGTGAGTATTAAGTTTTTCCAAAACCATTTATTGAGACTATTTTTCTTCATTGAGTATTCCTGGCTCCTTTGACAAATATTAGTTGACTCTAAGTATATGGGTTTATTTCTGGGCTCTTGATTCTGTTCCATTGTTGTATGTATTTGTTTTTATGCCAGTATCATACTGTTTTAATTACAATACTTTGTAATGTAGTTTGAAATCAGGAAGTGTGGTTTCTCCAGCTTTGGTTTTCTTTCTCAAGATTGTTTTGGTTTGGGGGTCTTTTGTGGTTCCATACAAATTTTTAGGATTATTTGTCTTAGTTCTGTGAAAAATATCATGGGTATTTTTCTAGGGATTGCATTAAATCTGTAGATTTCCTTGGTGGAGGGACATTTTAACAATACTAATTCTTCCAATCCCTAAGCACGGTATATTTTTCCATTTATTTCTTTCATCAATATCTTACAGTTTTTGGTGTACAGGTCTTTCACTTTCTCGGTTAAGTTTATTATTAAGCATTTTATTGTTTCTTAAGCTATTGTAAATTTTTAAAAATTTATTTTTCAGAGAGTTCATTGTTAGTATATGGAAACTCAACCGATTTTGGTATGGTGATTTTATATCCTGAAACTTTACTGATTCATTTATTAGTTCTAATAGTTTTTTGGTGGAGTCTTTAGGATTTTCTATATATGAAAGCATATAATCTGAAAACAGAGACATTTTTTACTTTTCCCTTTCTGATTTGGGTGCCTGTTACTACTTCTTCTTGCCAATTGCTCTAGGTAGGACTTCCAATACTTGGTTCAATAGGAGTGGTGAAAGTGGGCACCTTTATTTTGTTCCTGATCTTTCAACTTTTCACCATTAAGTATGATGTTAGCTATGAGCTTATCATATATGACTTTTATTTTGTTAAGGTACTCTTTCTATGCTTTCTTTGTTAAGAGTTTTTATTATGAAAGGATGTTGAATTCTGTCAAATATTTTTTCTGCATCTATTGAAATAATCATGATTTTTATCTTTCATTCTATTAATATGGTTTATAATATTTATTGATTTGCAGATGTTGAACTATCCTTTCATCCCTGAAATAAATCCTATTTGATCCTGGTGTATAAACCTTTTAATGTGTAGTTGCATTCAGTTTGCTAGTATTTTGTTGAGAATTTTTGCATCTATATTTTTCTGGGATATTGACCTGTAGTTTTCTTTTCTTTCATGTCCTTATCTAGCTTTGGTGTCAGGTAATGCTGGCCTTGTAAAATGAATTTGAGAGTGTTCTTTTCTCTTCAATTTTTGGGAAGAGTTTGAGAAGGATTGGTATTAATGCTTCTTTAAATATTCACCCATGAAGCCACGGGTTCTGGGCTTTTCTTTGCTGGGAAGTTTTTGATTACTGATTAAATATCTTTACTTATTTTCAATCTGTTCAGATTTTATATTTCTTCATGATTCTGTCTTGGTAGATTGTATGTTTCTAGGAATTTATCCATTTCTTAATACCATCTTAAGAATTGTTTCCTGGCTGTTTTGTAATTCCTTTGCTCCTTTCTTCATCTCTTGCTGTCTTTGTGAATTAATCATTTTCCATAGTGATTTTGATTCCCTTCTCTTTATGATTTGTGTAACAACTGTGGGTTTTTACTTTATGGTTACAATAAGGCTTACATAAAACATCTTATAGATATAACAGTCTATTTTAAGCTAATGCCAGCTTAACTTCAATAGCATACAAAGCTCTACCCTTTTACTCCTCCCCATTTTATGTTTTAGATGTCACAATTTCCATCTTTTTATATAATATATCCATTATGGTTATTTTTAATACTTTTGTCCTTTAATTTTTTTTTTTTTTTTTTCGGTCGTACGCGGGCCTCTCACTGTTGTGGCCTCTCCCATTGTGGAGCACAGGGTCCAGATGCACAGGCTCAGCGGCCATGGCTCACGGGCCTAGCTGCTCCGAGGCATGTGGGATCTTCCCATACGGGGGCACGAACCCATGTCCCCTGCATCGGTAGGCGGACTCTCAACCACTGCACCACCAGGGAAGCCCTGTCCTTTAACTTTTGTACTAGAATTGTGATTAACATACCATCATATTACAGCATTGGAGTTTTCTGAATTTGCCTATATAGTTACTTTTAGCAGTGTGCCTTATAGTTTCATACATTTTCATGTTATTAATTAGAATGCTTTCATTTTAGCTTGAAGAATTCTTTTCAGTATTTCTTGTGAGGCAGATCTAGTGGTGATGAACTCCCTCAGCTTTTGTTTGTCTGGGAAAGCCTTTACTTCTCCTTCATTTCTGATGGACAACTTTGCCAGATAAAGTATTCTTGGTTGAATTTTTTTTTTTTCTTTCAGCACATTGAATATATCTTCCCACTCTCGCCTGGCCTATAATATTTCTGATGAGAAATTCACTGATAGCCTTAGAGGATCTTTTATGAGTGGCAAACTTCTTAATTCTTGCTACTTTTATTATAATGTGTTTGGATAAGAACTCTTTGACTTTAATATGGTGACCTGTGAGCCCCATAATCTCAAATATACAAATCTTGCCCCTGATCTGGGAAATTTTCAGCCATTATTTTTTTAAGCAAACTTTCTGTCCCTATCTTCTTCTCTTCTCCTTCTATAACTCCCATAATTCATAGAATGTTTATCTTAATGGTGTCTCATAAGTCCTGTAGGTTTTCTTCATTTTCTTTTCTTTTTTTTTGTTTTTTAATGTTACTCTAACTTAGATATTTTCAAATTGGGTGCCTTCACACTCATTGATTCTTTCTCTTGTTTGGTTGAGTCTGATGTTGAAGCTTTCTATTGAATCCTTCAGCCAGTCATTATATTTTTGAGCTCCAAGATTCCTGTTTGGTTATTTTTATATTTTCTATCTCTTTGTTGAACTTCTCATTTTTTTGTATTGTTTCCTTGATTTCTTTAAATTGCTTACCTGTGTTCTCTTGTGGCTCTCTGAGAACCTTTAGAACAATTATTTTGCATTCTTTGTCAGGCAATTCATGGATCATCATTTCCTTAGGGTCAATTACTGGATATTTACTGTGTTCCTTTCGTGGTGTCATGTTTTTCTGATTCTTTGTGATCCCTGTAACCTTGGGTAGGTGTCTGCACATTTTAAGAAAACATCTCCTTTTCCAGACTTTATGGGCTGACTTCTTTATCTGTGAGTTGGGGAATGCTGGAACATTTTGTGACTCCAGCTTAGTCTAATACTACAGAGTGCCAAGTGCAGGGGTGTGTGTGAGTGCTCCAGGTCTTGGGGGGGGCATTGTGTCTCATCAGCTCAGGCAGCTGGGGTCTGTGACATTGAAAACTGCATGGTCCTTGGCAAGAGTTATGGGGGTTTCACATTGGCTACTAAGGCTGATGGTGTGGTTCTCAAGAGCACCTCCAAGTCCAGCAGCTAGGGACTGGGGAAGGTGGCAGTGGTGGCCAGAACCAGTGGTGTGCATACACTTGGCTGACTGCATACACACACACAGTGGTGAGAGCTGGGACCAAGAGGAGTCAGAGCCAATTGCAGGAGCACGAGCAGCTTCTGGAGCCCTGGTTGTTGGCATGTAGTCATGGAACAGCATGGCCTAGCTGCAAATGCATGTATGGTGGTGGGGGCTGGTGATAGGAATCAGGGCAGGCATCGTGCAGGTTCTTGACTACTAGGACAAGCTGCAGGCAACCAACCGCAGGGCAGGCCAGTGAAAAAGGTCAGGGCCAGATCCAGGCCAACAACAGGTGTGGGGACCTTGTTTGTTGGTGGGCACTGATGTGGCTACAGGGGCTAATAATGGGTGTGCACACAGCAGTGGGAGTTGGCTGCAGGGGTCTAGGCTGGCATCTTGCATGCACATAGCTGCAGAGGCTGGGACTGGCTGCTAGTACTGATCTTGGGTTCTGGCAGGAGGAGGAAGGGAGAGAACAGGAAGGGATTCAGGCAACTGGCATCTGTGAATGTGGAAATCTGTAGGACAAAAATTTCAGCCATGAAATAGGCAGGGGATCTGTGATGGTTGTTTTGATTGTTGGTTTCTTCAGCAGAGAAATCTGCCTGTGTCCTTTGTGGGCCAATCTGGTGGGGTCCAGTAATAAAAGCTGTGCTAGTCTGCAATATCTTTAAAGGTTCTGAGATTCTTAGTAGTGAAGCCTACTGGGATCCTCTGACAAGCAGGCTACTGGGAACCAAGGTCATTCCTGCACATGGCTGTTATTGGTAGCCCCTTCCCTTCTTCCTTGTTCCTAGATGTCTCTAGATGTCTCAGCTTTGCTGGTCTCTGGATGGGGTGAAACCACAGTGGGTACTTTGTGCAGTTCCCTAAAAGACTGGGGAAGCTGGTCACTCACCCTCCTCTCCTTTTCTGGGCCAAGAGAAATCTCTTGGGTTGGGAGTTCCCTTTTGGCACTAAACAGTGCCAGTCTTGGGGAAGGGATGATGCAGGCAAAATGAAACTTTTCTTCCTATCGTTTCTGTGTGGTTGTTCTCAGATTTTTGCTCTATTGTGTTGCTGAAGCTTCGTAAGTGGACTCCTGAGCTCTGAGCTATTTTCGTTTGTGGATAGCTTCCTAACTGTTGTTCTTTGTGGGAAAACAGAAGCCTGGGTCTCCTACACTGCCATCTTGGTCATAAAATTCTAAATTTATTAAATATCTCCACATTCCATCTGAATAACACAAGGACATTTAAGCATTTTAACCTAGAAATTGTGCTCCTGTCATACATGTTATTATTATTCAATATTGTAGTTCCACATGTGTTTAAATATTTTAAACATATCATAGCCTCTATCCAATGTTACTATTAACTGAAACCCTTGGTAATTTAACACTTCTTTGTGTGGATTATAGTTCTTACTCCAGGTGAATTGTCAACATGTTAGTTTCATAGCTTTGAACTGTGAGCTCATTTTAGCAAAGTCTGTCTGTGAGAATTTAGAGAAACCTGCTTGGATAAACATTTCTCAAAAGTGATTTTGCATTTGCCAAGCATCCCAGTGTATTTGTATATGTGGTGGTGGTGGTGGTGGCAGTGCTGGTGTGTGTGTGCATACATACCTGTAAATCTCAGTTTATGGTCTCTTGGAAAATGCAGAGTGCATAAATTTGTACAGGAAACTTACATGAGAGCAGACCATGTGTAAAAATTCTCATGAGAGACCATCATTATGATTATTTTTGTATACAGAGCTCCTGGCAAGCCACTAAAATTACACTCTCTCACTAAAGCTATAGCCTGGTTTGTATGGTAGTCTTAGCTCCAACTTCATGCTACTTGTTGGTCCAATGTCTTTAAGATTATGTTCTCATTCAGACATTTAGTTCAAATCTCCTCAATGGAAAGCCACAGTGTCCACTCTTGGTTTTAAATTATTATTGTTTTCAGTTCCCCAGTTCTGTCCTTTGGATATATACATTTTTATTTTCTTGTAAACTCAACATACATTTAAAAAATTTTTTTTTTTTTTTTTGTTTTTTTTTTTTTTTTTTTTTGCGATATGCAGGCCTCTCACTGCTGTGGCCTCTCCCGTTGCGGAGCACAGGCTCCGGACGCGCAGGCTTAGCGGCCATGGCTCACGGGCCTAGCTGCTCCGTGGCATGTGGGATCTTCCCGGACCGGGGCACGAATCCATGTCCCCTGCATCGGCAGGAGAACTCTCAACCACTGTGCCACCAGGGAAACCCTATAACTGTTTTTAAAAAGTATGTTTATGTTATAGAATCAGTAATAATTCTGTAACTGAAAGTCTTTGCTGCATGTGTTACTGTATATGCAGATGTTGTGATCTAAGGTAGAAATTTCATCCAAACTTATGTTTGGCATAGCCTCTAAAATATTTTGCTGTTTCTATGAATTATCAATCCTAATTATGCAGAAATTTCCTTTTCTTGTAAACCTTCCCTGATTCCCTTAGGCTGAATTAGAGGTCCCTTCTCTTTTCTGCCCTCATACTCTGTGCATTTCTTAAAACACTGACCTTCCTTAGCTGTATTTGATATAGTTATTTTTGATATTGTCCATCCCTAGCAATAGCCATGAGATTCCTGGGAGTCTTATTCACCTTACATACCCCAATTGATATTGTGTTGACTGGACAAGTGAATAAATAAAGTACAATAATATTTTAAGGAAGAGTATCATTTTATATAATCTGATATATTATTCTCTCAGAAACTTTATTACTTCCTCTCTATTATTACATTGTAATAAAATTACTTGTTTCTCTCTTATCTACTAGGTTTGTATATACAATTAAGATTAGACATTACATGTTGTACACATATTGCATAAATGTTTATAAACATATTACAGAAATAATTGTTGGGTAATAGTAATAAAAATTACATCTATTAATATTGGAGAAAGGGAATGTATTAATTTTATTTACCAGAAATGGAATGTGTTGAGTCAGTAAGTTCAGGGGAAGAGGAATAATCAAGCAAACATTGAGGAGAAGGAGGCAAGCTAAAACAGAGGAGGCTACAGGATATTTCCATTCCGATGATCACAGCAGTGAGGTAACTTAAGAATGTGTTGGAACAAGGCTATGTGGGACAAGAGTCTCAGGATAAATTGAACTACACAGGTCTCATTGCTAGCAGTCATGGTCATAAGCTTCCTCCTTATATTGATGATATTTTACCAATGCAAATAATGTTAAAAATGACAATTAGAACAACAAATGAAGTAGTAATTACATTTTGCAGATAGAACTAGGGAAGAATTTGTGAGCCAGATATAGGTGAGGTGAGGATTGTAAAATAAAAGGCATTGTTATGCTGGGGATATTGACTTGGTACTGCAAATCTGTTGTTTCTCCCTTCTCATGGATTAGTCAGTGTAAACATAATAGGTGTTTTGTGCTTATATGTTACTTCACCTGTTTTACCTGATGGTCATTATTACACTGGTGGATACCCAAGGATTAAACACATTCTCCCACTCTGATGGCTTTGGCAAATTGGCTGATGCTGTTAGCATTTGTGAAAATCTATTGCCTTGAATAATTTCCCCAACCTTTTCTGCTACAAGAAGGGTTAGAATGTGTTGGCAGAAGATTAAAAAAATAAAGATAACAACTTATTCCTTTAGATAGATCTTTACATTTTACAAAGAACATTCACGTATATTACCTCATTCATCATTATTGATATTCTATTATTGTTACTCTTATCTTTGCATTGTGCAAATACATACTATAGAGATCCTGTACCATTAAAGCCCAACCAGACAAGAGCTGAGGCCTCCTTGGGTGTTGAGGGGCATTGGCAGCAGCAGAGATCACAATTATCACACTGTTGCTTATTGTGGGGGAGCCAGCTTGCTCTGCCTGGGCTGAGTGGGCAGGTTGTACTGGCTGACCCATGCTCCCTGACTGGGGTGGGCTGGTGGGTATGTCTGGAAACTTCAGTTTTCCAGGAGCCTCTTGAATTTGGGGTTCACAAAGGAGAAGCCAGAGAATGCTGTTTGGTCGATGGGGTTCTTGTCACTGTAGGAGAAACATGGCTTCTGATCCAGGAACTCCTGGTTAAAGTTGCTATACATAACTTCTAGGAGTTAATTAGCAATACTAGTAATAGTGAGTGCCTAATAATACATTTCAGATTCATGATTCCAGTAACAATTGGATTAGATATCAATAAAATGTTGTCTTCATTAATGATCTAATGATGAATTTATCTTCAAAGGAATATGACTTCTCAGAATATCAAGTAGTAATATATATATATATTCGGGGGGTGTTCCTTGAGGGAGGACAGGAGAAATTTGAGCATGTTTATAGGTTGAGGAAATGGAGCCAGTAGAGAGGGAGATATAGAAAAGAAAGGGGGCAGTGATTAAGTAAGGCCCCAGAAAAATAGAATGTTTGGGGTCAGTGATGGGTATAAGGTTGGCCTTGAATGAGATGTGCAAGTGTGTGAAGGGTACCTCTTTCCATAGATTTCACAGATGAAAAGATTAGATAAGATGTACGTGGGCTGATAGTTTTCTAGTTGCACTGATATAAAAGGCAATGTTGTATCACTGAGGTTTGATAAAGGTGTTTGTAAGTGGCACACATTTCAAATGGTTGCAGAGGGTAGGAGAGGAAACTAAAACAAGAACATATAAAATGGCTTATAAATTCCATGATGCTAAAGAACCATGTCTATTTTATCCACAACTGTAACCAACACAACATATTAACACAATACCTGGCATTTAGTAAGTGCCCTATAAAACCTTATTGAATGAATGACAAAACAATATGTATGATTAAATGAATGCTGACAAAAGACAAGATCAGAAAATATGAGTTGGAAGTGGCAGCAACTTAGAAATTCATGATTTTCTTCAGGCTCAACACAAGGATGGTGATCAAAGGGAATAATAAAGAGGAGTTGGTGTTTAGGAGTTTATTACTGTCTTTTTTCTTGAAACACATTATTGTCTTGGCTTACTTAACAGCACACTTTCTTGGGTCTCCTCTTATCTGAACACTGATTCTCAGTTTCCTTGCTTGTATCTCCCTGTCTGACCTCCTTCCTTTCCTTTCTTCTTTCCTTCCTTCCTTCTTTCCTTCGCTTCTTCTTTCCTTCCCTTTTTCCTTCTTTCCTTTCCTTTCTTTTCCAGCTTTACTGAGATATAATTGACACTATGACTTATCTTGAAATAATGACATAACCCTTCTTCTATACTCTTTCTTTAGATAATCTCATCTATTTTTATGATTTCAAATATCATCCATGTACCAATATATCCCTGATAAATATCATCTGTTTTGTCATCTCTGATGAGCTTCTGACTCAAATATCAATGCTTGACATCTCCCTTTGATTGTCTATCCAGCACTGAAAATCCAGCTGGGACAAAACAGAAGAATTTCATTTTTTTCCAGAACGTGGTACCTGTTTTCCCCAATCCTAGTTAAAAGCATGACCATTTATCAAAATGTTCTGTATTTTTATCTTCTTTTTGTCCCCATATTGAAGTCGTGAGCAAATCTTGATGGTTTTACCTCCAATATGTCTAAAATAATATCTAAGTCCCTTCAGTTCTCTATATCCCCATTACGCTGCCATTATCTTGCCCAGTATACTACAAAAGTCTATAAGTATACTAACTATACTTCCTACTTCCAGTTTTCTTCCTCCCCAATTACTCTACAGTCAGCAGAGAATGCAAGTAAGATTGCATCTCATTCCTACTTAAAATTTCAGTGGCTTTTCATCATATTTAGAATAATATTCATGTGGTCTTAAAAACTTCTAATGATCTTGCCTTCACTAGTCTCATTGACCATTGTCCCCTCTCTCAGTACACTCAGCCAAACACTCCCTTTTCATCCCATGGTAGGGCCTTTGCCTTAGCTGATCCCTCTTCCTGGCCTTCCTATGGCTGGAATTTTCCCTGTTCTTGTCTCAGCAAAGATTCCAACTCCTCAGAGAGGAGCTCCCTGACACCTCTATGAAATGAGGCTCCCACAGCTACAGTTACTCTCTATCACATGATCTTTTTAAATTTTTTGTATAGTCCTTACCACTATTTGAAATTATCTTATTTATTTGCTTGCTTATGCATCTCTTTTATCCAGCAGAATAAAGGATCTACAAGAGCAGATAATTTGACTTCCTTGTTCACTGATGTATTCTCAGGTTCTAAAACTGGCACATGGAAAGTGCTCAATTAATATTTGCTAAATGATTGAAATCATGGTCTCTAGTAAAAGAAATAAGGAAATAAGACAGACTAGGAGAGGGTGGAATGACTGACTGGAAGCCACAAAAATCTACTTTCAGGTTGATGAGTTGACTTAAGTAGTTAAAAATTTTCATTTCTACTGTGAGTCTAGACAATTTACTTTCGATGTTTGTGTGTGTTCTCTCTTCCCTTTCAACTGTGTGCCAGTTTACTCTTAGTTTTTAATTAAATTTTAGTCTCTGAAAACTGCCAGCTATTATGACATAG